CCACCCGCAAAGATTAGCAAATCAAATGTAATTGCCTCAGAAGTTCCCAAAAGCTTTCCAACTGTGCTGTAGAATTTAATACATAGCAAAAATCTCTGGAAAAAATCCCAAACCCAGCTCTTAGGTGATATGAGTTGTGAACATGACAACATTTTTTAAAATGTAAATTAAATAAACTTGGGTTTCAAATATTGCCATATGAAAATAAACAATCATTTTCGATTTAATCTGCAGCATTGTTCCAGAAGGAAGGAAAAACAGCTGCCTCCAATTTTTCTTGTGCTTGGATGTTTAAAGCAGCACTGTGTTTGGGCTCAAACACAAGACAGCTCTCTTCCCTTGTATTTGGCTTTGGCTGGCAGATTTGTTTATTAGTTTAACACTTGCTCTTCTACTTAAGGGCCCAGTCCTGCAAGGTGCCAAGTGCCTTCAACTCCCATGGATTCAGTGGGAATTGAAGCTGCTTGGCTCTTGCAGGCTTGGGCACTAAGATGGTTTTACAATGATGGAAATAATCAACCCGTGATTAGCCAGAGTGTTCAGTTCTGGGCGGCAAAGAATTTGGCAGTGCCAAGAGCACCAGTGGGCAACAATTTTTGAAGGGGGCCACTCCAAAATTTGGTAAGTGGTCAATGGTTGCACTTTTCTATAGAGGGGCTGTGAGCCCTGGGACAGAGGTTGGGCACAGAAGGGAGCTTGGGGGTAGGGAACTGGGGTGCAGGAGAGGGTGTGGGGTCTGAGAGGGAGTTTGGGTGAAGGAGGGAGTTGTGACTTGGTGTAGAGGATTGGAGTGCAAGGTCCGGGAGGGGTACGGGTGCAGGAGAGGATTCTGGCCTGGGGGAAGGATGTAGGAGTGGGTGCAGAGTCTGGGAGAGAGTTGTGACCTGGGTCAGGGGGAAGGAGGTGCAGAGGGTTTGGGTGGTGACCTGGAACTGGTCAATGGGAGTGGAGATTGTGCTGTGCTTGGGGGCAGTGTGCAAAACCTCTGCCCCCTCCCCCTCCACAGCACAGAGAGGCACTTGGAACAGCCATATGATTTGAGTGATGTGGGTTCCTGGCAGGGCGGGCTGGGTGGGCCGCAGGGAGGATTAAAAGCTTGGCAGGCCGGATTTGACTTGTGGGCTGTATCTTACCCACCCCTGCTCAAGAGTAACCTTTGGAAATGGCAGAGCTCCAATGAGGGGTTCCTCCTCGCTCATCCTAGCAGGAAGGATGGTGACAGGTTTGGCAGGGCGGGTGCAGCAGAGACACACTGGATCTCCTGCTTCTCCGGTGAGGGTGCTGAAAAGATGGGCATCGTGGTGGTGAAATGCAGGCATTCTGCACTTGTGTTACCTTGCTGTCCTCCTAGTCCCACTGAGTCTGCCAGGTGAGTAGTATGGCCTTGGCCAGAACAGCCCTCCCTAACAACGCAAACAGTCACACACAGAACGGTCATTAGCTAAAACACAGTCTCCCATTTCACACCGTTCTCACTCATCCTTTTCACACAGAAACCAAATGATACATTTTGGGTGGGAGAAGCAGCTTTGGGATCTCCCTCCTGTTGTCTCTTATTCCCCCCTGGAATCTGCCTGTTTAGCCTTTCAGCTGAGCACAAGATACACACCGAAGGAGAGGGGACCATTCAAGCCTAATGCAAAGCAAACCACCTGAGGTAAGGAAGCAAAGTGCACAGAGCTTTCTAAACTGGAAATGTGTAGGTTGCTGGGGCCACAGCCCCTGAAGAGGAGGCTGTCTTACCATCCCTCTCCCAATGTCTTACCATGTTGCTGCTAGCCCCCTCAGCATCGCTGAGCTGTTCATGTGCTTTCTCCCCTGGTCCCCACCACATTCAAATCGATGTACTTATTGCACCTTTGCTAAATTCATATTCATACATCAGCTCCCCACCTTTATTCGCAGCTCGCAGGATTTAGGCATTCAGTGGAGACCACTGGCTAACGTGGGGTTGTGGGAAGCAGTCCACTGTGTTTCTCTGCTGCAGCTCCAGCTACTGTCAGCCCTCACTGCATACGGCACAGGCGACAGCCATGTTCACATCATAACCTAGTGTCTCCACAGTGAGGCAGTACAATGGCAGTCCTTGTGGGAAGAGGGAGCTTTTTAATTTGGCAAGATTCCAAGTCCACCCTCTGAAGAAGTGCTGAGGTTGCAAGAGTGGCTACCAAAAAGCTTCACTGCCACTCTGCGTCCTAAGCGGCAGAATTTACTGCCACCCACAAATGCTAGAAAATCCATCTACTCCGATGTCTGTTATCTCCATTACTATGCACAGGCAACCAGACAGACAGCTAACTTCACAATCTCAGCTCAAAGCCATGCCAGAAAGGCCAAATAACGTCAAATACCCCTTTCCTGAAGTGGAATGAGGCGTACAGCTAGTTCGGATTAGGAAGCCTAATCTGAACTATCTAGTCCGTGCCGCGTGTAGCCGCGCGGCACGGGGTCCGAACTAGCCAGCATTTAAAAATGGCGCTGGCCGGCTTTATGCAAATGAAGCCCGGGAAATTCAAATCCTGGGCTTCATTTGCAACTCTGTATGACTACATTACCCCCCCTAGTTCGAACTAGGGGGGTAGTGTAGACATACCCTCAGAGAGTACATCAGATACAACCTTCCTAAGGAACAACTGAAGCAAGTGGTGCGGGACTATATTTTGGATCAAAAGCACATTTCTTGGCAGGTAGGGGTGCAGAGCTGAGTTATCTAAGTCTCTCCAGATCAACTCTTACATAGTCTCAGCACAACCATGTGAACCAAAAGACCCTTTTTTGATACAACAGGATTTGTCAGGTCATGGGTGGTTTAACTTGCATCTTTACCGTTGGTGCTCAAGAACAAACTCTCTTTGTTGTCTTGATGGTAGACAGACAAACTTATCCTCTCCAGACACAGCTGCTGTGATAGAGTGGTCACATCACTTACTCAATGTGTAATTCATTATTTGTGCCATCAGAAGCTATATGCCAGAATAACTAGCACAATAAAACAAATAATTGGGCATCTTATAATACTATACACACAGAGAGAACTGTAGGTTATTTTGATCAAAAAGAATTTCCCAGTGCAGAGATCAGTGTCAAAACTTGTTTTATTTAAAGAACTGTCCAAAAAAAATCTAGAGCAAATTATTTTAAAAACAGAGTTTTCTCCCTTTATATGAGAGAGTTTCCGCATGTAATTTATCCCTCTCCATCCCTGATACCTCCCATGGGAACTAAAAGGAGGATTTTGCTTTGAAAGCAAGGAAGAGAAGTGGGAGCTGACAAAAGCAGTTCCTGGATTCCTTGGATGGTAGGAGATAGTAACTAACTTCTGGATAAACATCTCCAGTGCATTGGGAATGGTGAAAATGAGCATTGCGGTCACTTCAAAGAGACACTGTCAGGGTTCTTACATTTTATACAAAACAATTTACGAGCGGTGGTTGGATGGGTGTTTCATTTCAGTGGAACGAGCTGGGTATGTTTTAAAGGAATGACACGCCCAAGCATATTTACCAGTTATTTCAATTTGGTCAGGACTATCCTTAATTCCAAACTGAGTCCTGCAGGTGCTAACTCCTGCACCAGGCAGGCAATTTAAAAAAAAATTGCAGCAGCATTCCTAACATTAGATCATGCTGTGCAGGGAAGGCAGGCTGCAGCCTGTGGCTGAGGACTTGTCTACCTCTGTGCACTGAAGTTACTAGCAGGAGAGGCAGAAGTGAGACTATCCAGGCTACACACCAAGCATGAGGAACACCAGCTACCCATCTCCTAGTCCGCTGGCTGTGCTGACCAGCGACTGTCATCCTCCCCATTGCTGTGGTAAAAAAGAGAGGGCAGAGGGTAAAACTGGGGAGGAAGAGCAAATTGGGGGGCACAAAAAGGAGCTAAATTGGATTTCAATAATAACGGAGAGAGGGACCTCAAAGAGGTGGGCGGGGAACAAAAGATGGGGAAGCCCCACAGACCTTCAGGGAAAGTGCCAGGGAGAGGGGAGAAACTAGAGGAGAGGGACAGGGCATAACATCCTCCCACATGGAGGAGTGAACCTAAGCACATTTTGGGGGCATCCTCCCAAGTGGACATGCTGAAATAACAATGTCTATTGTGGGGTAGAGGGTTTGTGGGGATGGAGGGTCCTGGGGGCTACCCCATGTTTGCATCAGTACCCCAACTTCTGGGAGCCTGTCTAGAACCTGGAGGCCCTCATTTAAATATGCCTATGGTGCACAAGCATCACCCTCTGCTGAGGTGATGTGGGCAGCCCCAGGCACTGTTGAAGAGTCTCCTCGGCAGTGTGTCTACAAGGCTGCACTTGTAACCCCAACACAGAAGCATTCTGCTGAAGCAAAAGGCCGAGAGAGTGAAGCGCAACCAACGGTAAACAAGTCTAATGGCATGATCTGCGCTCAGAGAAATGCAACAGAGAAACCAACAGCATGAGACAGGGCTTTAGAGGCATAAAAAGCTTCTCTCTCGTGTAAGCCCCCACACCGGGAAGGAAATGGGTTTGAGATACATTGTAACCTGGCTGTGTCTATGCGGCAGCGTTCAATGTCTTTCCCGTAGGGAGTGGAGGATTCTGCTGTGCAGTTCAGTGAGTCATCTCCGCTCACGCTCATCCCAAATGTGTCAGATGCTCCTTCTGGAAGGGTATGGGTACCCAAGCAGATCACTGGAGCACTAGGCTCCCCAGGCTCTCAGCTCTGCTACCCAGCCGTGGCTGCTCCTGGCAAGGCAGTGACACCGGGGGGAGGGCAGCAGCTGCTGCCGGTGCCACCACCGTG